CGCCCCTCGGGACAGCCACCCAGGCGCAGTCTCGGGCGGGAGGACGCCGAGCAGGGTGGCGCGGGCTGGGGCCGGGGCAGCCGCCTCCCGAAGATGCAGGATGGCAGCAGAACAGCCGTCCAGCCTCTCCTACCGCACCACGGGCTCCACCTGTCTGCACCCGCTCAGCGAGCTCCTGGGCATCCCGCTGGACCAGGTAACTGCGGGCGGGCAGGCCGCCGCTGGGGCGTGAGCGCAGGACCCTTCCCCGAGTCGGTGCGGGCGTGGAGCCTGGGGAGAGTATCTGCCTCCGTCCCTGCCCCCATAGCAGATTTCTCAGCTTCAAACTAGACAGGTGGATTTTTTTTTTGAGTTGACTTTTTCTCCTGTAAGTGTGAAAAAATTGGTACACCCCTCACATCAGGCTCGAATAAACTTTTTTTGTTTGTTTGCTTGAAGTTTTGGGTTGCCTCGTTTCCTGTAACCATGTTCTGAAGCATTCTGATAAATGAATCAAATGTGTCTTTCATCAGTGGCCTCTAGTCTTTATTATTTTTATTTTAGATGACCCTACATAGAAACTAAGGCTGATTAACCTATAAGCAATAGCCTATGCCTTTTGCATGGGAGACCCAGGTTTTAGACTTCAGCAGTGAGGCTTGTGAAATCAGGGTAACAGTTATTTTGTACCATGTATGATATCCATCGGCAAGGGACAAGGGACACAGGGTGCTTTGGTTTTTTGTGATATTCCGAAGACCTTAGTATATTCAGTCCGTCTGTCCTTGAGGGTCCAGGATCCCTGTGGGACAGGTTAGTGGGGGAAGAGCTGTTGAAGTTGTTTGGACTGTCCAGGAACTGTCTGCTACCATTAAAACTAAAGATAGAAACAAAGAACAATAATTCCAGGTAAGAAATCTTCCTGAGGGTTTGAGGCTGTCTTAACTCATTTTCTTGTCTCTTTAGGTGCTGCAGGCTAGGTCTGCCCTGTATTTAGTAGTGAGTCAATAAATACACAGTTGACTCTTGAGTAACATGGGTTTGAGCTGCATGGGTCCACTTATATGTGGATATTTTTCAATAAAGAAGGTGTGGTATCTTTATGCAATGGAATACTACTCAGCCATAAAAAATAATAAAATAATGCCATTTGCAGCAACATGGATGGATCTGGAGATCATCATTCTAAGTGAAGTAAGCCAGAAAAAGAAAGAAAAAATACCATAGATATCAATTTTATGTGGAATATATATAAAAAAGACACAAATGAATGTATTTACAAAGCAGAAAGAGACTCACAGACAGAAAACAAACTTATGATGACCAGGGGGGATGTGTGTGGGAAGGGATAAATTGGGAGTTTGAGATTTGCAGACACCAACTACTATGTATAATATAGATAAACAGTAAGTTTTTACTGTAGAGCACAGGGAACTATATTCAATACCTTGTAGTAACATATAATGAAAAAGAATATGAAAAGGAATACATGTATATGCATGACTGAAACATTATGCTGTACATCAGAAATTGATACAACATTGCAAACCGACTATACTTCAATAAAAAAATGGAAAAGAAAAAAATGGTAAATACTACAATCCTGTACCATCCGTAGTTGGCTAAGTCCGCAGATTCAGAGGAATGGCAGATACGAAGGGCTGAGTGTTAATTACAGGCAGATTAACCCCCATGTTGTTTGAGAGTCAGCTGTGCTGGGTTAAGTGGGATTGGGTGAAACATGTGGGGGAGGACCTCCTGTACTCCTGACTTTTTTTCATGCTGAGTTTTCACCCAGTTTACTTCCTCTGCTTCTCCCTAGTGGTCTTTTTCAAAATTCTTCTCTCCTTCAAACACGCACATATCTGCTGCTCTTTCCACTCACATTCCTTCAGCAACGAGGAAGTGAGACCTGGACGTGTGCCTTATCCCAGGTGCTGTTTACCGAGCCACCCTTCTACCTGGTTCCCTCTGCAGATCTGATTCCGAACTCCACCTGATCTGATTGTTGCCTTCTCATCAGCTGTAAAATCCAGAAGGTCAGGAAATTGGGAGAGGTGTCGGATGCTAACTCCTGCTCTTGCAGTGAGGACGTAGTGGCTGCCACGGACCTAAGCCAAGGCAGAAATAATAGAAAATTCTTTAGCCCTGAAATGAAATATGACTCAATAGCCGAATTTCCTTCAGGGGAGTTTACCTTGTCCTTACTCCTCCCCTCCATCACGATTTATTTTAATTGTGTTTTCTGTTTTCAGCAGTGCCACACAGCTAGAGAGAGGAATCCAGGGAAGTTTTCTTGTATGGAAAGAGACAGATAAATGGACCCTGGAGATTTATGACTGAGAGGTGCTAGTATGATGGTATTAAGCTCTTTATAACTGCATCTACCCCCACCCCCAATCTGGATTTCTGTTTTAATTTATTAAAAAAAAAAAAAAACACAGAAACCTGTGGGATGTTTAAGCCTGGGAAGGAGGAATGGCTCAGGTGAACTGAAGGAAAAATGTGGACAATGGGCCAGGAAGGAGCACCTGTGATCTCTTCGATCTTAGAACAGCCCCCCTGCCCCCCAGCACAGTCAACTGCATGTGACTTTTGGTGGAAGAAGCACTTGAAAGAGCAATGCCCCAGCTAGCTTATTTTAGGCCGCGGGAGCATCCCAAACCATAAATAATGTGGTTTGAGGCTCAGCTGTGGCATGAGAGTTTGGAAGCTTGATGTGTTTTTCTCCCTCACACTTTCAAGGGCTTTTAAAGGTCTTAGATGTTAGACTGACTTGGGGGTGATTCCTGCTCTGCCAGAAATCTTCCTTTGTGACCGCTGGCTGGATTCTACCATCCTGGAGCTTTAGGGTCCCCACATGTCAAATGGGAGATGTCAGTAAGACGTACCTTTTGGAGTTGAGACATTTTATGTGGATATAAAATGCCCTCCATCAAGAAGGTCCTTGAATCAGACAGGGTCCTGGCAGGAAGCAATTCAACTCAATGGGCTGCAATGAAGAAACTTTAAAGAACTGCTTAGAGGAGGTGTGGGTGGCATCAAGGGAACTGACAAAGGATGTTCAGATACTAAGAACTGGACGCTGGAGGCGACCAGGGAGGGTGTCCTGTTGCCAGGATGCAGGGGGGAGGCAGAGAGAGGACCTCAGCCCTTCTGCTCCCCGTCCCCCAGCCTTTCCATCTCTTGCAGTGGCCCTCAGTGGGTGGCTGGCCTGGGGCACCTGGGTGATGTAAGGGCTCCTCCTGGGGCACAAAATGGGAAAGAGAATGGTGGAGGCAGCTCTGGTGAACAGTCCTAGGATAAGAGCACAGTCCTTGAACTATGTTTGCTCCTGGCCCATTAAGGAGTGACTTTTTATTGGCCTGCGATATACTAAAAATAAAACATCCCTCAAGTTACCCAAATAGCTCTTCTTATGCCACTTAAAGGTATTGAGTCCTTTCCCTAATGTGTTAACATTTTACATGTGTATCTGTAATTTCTGAATTGACTGCATTTCTGAGAATGTCTTTGGGCTTCTGGGTCTCCCCGTGTCAAGTAGTTTATTATCTGCAAAAACTGAAATATCTGCTGAGCTGTTCTACTGTGTGAGTGAAGAACTCTTTAATTATTTTTCATCTGATTCCTCCAGTTATCTGTTGTCTTAGCTCCTGGCGGGGAGCCTGTGAACAGTGGTTTTAGTTTCCAGGGACTTTAACTAGCCTGGCCTCCTCCTGAAGATGTTAAATGCAAAATCATTTTATTTAATTAGAGGGCAGCAATTCAGATCCAGAGTACAGGACATGGATGATGACTTAGGGGCCTCCACACGTGCTTCCCAGATGAGTTTGTTGAAAACTGCGTTTCTAAACAATGAGTCCCTTTCTGTGGAGCAGATGTGGAGCTCAGGCAAGGAATGGAGGATGACTTAAGTTTTGCTTTATTTTTTCTTTAAATCATCTTCTTACACCCTCTTTTCTTTGCTTTCATTGTGGGCAATGAAATTTAACCTTCAAAGTTTGTAAAGTTAACGCAGCTGCCAGGATGGATGCGATAATGCTGACATTATTAATTTGTGTTGTACACAGTCATATCCTGGGACCTGTGCCGGATGGGAAATTCCTGGCTTTAAGGAATTTACAATTTGGGGAACCTTGAGTGCCAAGGCTATTTTTACCAACCAGCATCCTCCAAATTTGTGTGTTTGCATAAAGTATCAATTTGGTATTAAACTAGGATTCTTGGTCTGGATTTCAATTTTTCCCCCCAATTTAGCATCAGCAGAAAAAAAAAAAAGGAGCAAAGGAAAAATAGATCAGGACATAAAGATTCAGGAAATGATTTTTCAGATTAAAGCAGCTAAAGCTTTGGGTTTATTCGGGTAAGCTTATGTTACAGTTTAAAAGGCTAAATGAAGGAAGACCAGCTCTAAAGACCCGGCCTCTTGACTAATGGTGATACCAGCTGTGGGTTTTGATGATTCCACCAGGGCCTCTGACCACAAAGTGTCTTTACCTGCCTGAAGCTTTCAGTCACCTGGTTAGTTCCCCTGCCGGTTCGTGGAAAGCCTAACCTCCAGTTCTCTTCTTATCTAAGTCTTGCCCTTAGTTAATAACTGAGCTCACATTCCACAGTCATTATTAAATCAATTAAATATTTATTCACATCACTAGCAGTGCCGGGTACCTGGTCAGGTTGTAGAAATAGAAGGCTAAAAAAAATCAAGGGAGAGTTTATACACCATACAAGCATATAAATGCTGTATACTCACAGACCTGTGTAGATGCTAATAGAGGTCTGTAGATGGTACCCTAGTGGCACAGAGATGGGAAAACCACAGGGCACCTTGGACTCCTGTATAATTTACTGTTTACCTTTGAAAAGGTTTGCATTTACACTTGATGCGTAGTAAATGTTACCTTATTTTGTTAAGTATTCTGCTGGGTTTATATGCTGAGTTTCCAACTAATTTAAAGTCTCCTTGAGGTCCAGGTTTTCTCTCTCCTTGTGTTCCAAGCATGTAGTAGGTGCTTAAGAAATATTTATCATTGGTAATAGTATACGCCAACGTTAATGATGTACATTACCAAACTTTAATATATAGAATCTTATTGTTGGTTTTTTTTTGGAGGGGGCAGGGGGAGGTAATTAGGTTTGTTTGTTTGTTTGTTTATTTATTTATATGGAGGTCCTGGGGATTGAACCCAGGACCTTGTGCATGCTAAACATGTACTC